GTCTATTGAGTAATAGGTCACAGATGACGTCATAAAAGTGGCACACGAGGCGCAGCCGAAGGTGTCTCTGATATTCTTTGTGGTGTCAGTTTCAATTAGTTTTACATATATTCTATTAGTAAGCACATTTTGGTGATTCTAGAGAACTTTATGCAATGTACGTACTGCTAGTGAAATGAAGACAAAGTTCCAGTGATTCCTCAATTTAGGGTTCCTGTAAAGTTGTTCCTTATACGGCATTCTTCCTCAACTCTAAGCCACAATGATCGTTTGACTGCATTTTCAATTCTTTCTGTTCTTACTGTGTGCTATTAGACGTATCTACCTCGCTATTTATCATCAGGTATCCTTGAATTATATTTGTTACCCCAAATAGAAAAGGAAAACAAAACAAAAACTCACTTTTTGAAGCTGTCCATCTTATCTTGTCATGATCGCACAATACCAAACAGATTCCTCATTCAATTCCCTTATCTTGTCTTGCCTGCGTCGAGTCTGGCAAGAAATGGAAAGCAAAAAAATCCCTCGATAATTGCTAAGTTTACACGTTTATTTTTTCGTTACCTTACTTCGGCTTCTTTACTGGTTAGACAATATGTTCCTTATTTGCGTCCATGACAAAATCCTTGAATCTCACTAATTATTTACAGCCCCAGTTTCAGGCTTACTTTGGCTGATGCAGTACCAAAACAGTCCAAACTTACCCATCTGATTACCACTTACTTTTTATCGGACAGCTAAGTTAGGAAAATTCAAGGGCTAATGAAAATTACGCAGCAAATCTTAATAGCCGGTGAGATTTAACCACCTGGTCAAAGTATGATACAGCAGCCACATGTACATACAATAGGCCTATTTTCAACAAATTGCTGAAACTTACCTTGCAATAATTTTTTCCCCTTCGTTTCCTCTCTATTCACTCCCATTCGTAGCTACATTAGGAAGCTGCATCAGATTGATTACAGAAAGAATTTGATCTAAGTTTGGATTTTAATCGTATGAATCGTTCACGAAATACACTGACGAAAAGCTTTAGCGGTTTGTGCCTTACAGCCACGTTATGTTAAAAATCTATCACGACTAATGAATGCGTCCCCTTAAGACTTTGTAAAAAGTTTTGAATCGATTTGAATTTACCGCTGCCAGGAACATTTCCTCCTTCTCCAAAACCTCTTCTTGGCTCGGGTAGACTTTTAATTTTAAAAATTGCCCTGGAAACCTAATCCAAAGGACATATATCATGGCGTGGAATTACTCCAGAGTCAAGAACTTGTTCGAAACACTTCCTCCGTCAATCTCGAATTCCTAAACTTCATTAAGCGCGCTGAACTACAGCTTACAATAGTACTCACCGTATCCTCACAGCGTGTTCTTTTGTGAAAGCTTCGTGGTGTATTGTGAGTACAAGCCAAATCTTCAAGCAAATGCTGGACGTCAGATTTGACTGAAGTTTTTTGCGGAAATGTGAAACTGCTTTGACCACGAGGAACCATAGAATGCAAATGAGCTGGAAGGATCCATATGCAAATTCAAATATGCGGAAAAACCCTAGGGATGTGAACGGTGTAACTTTTTACGGGCATATTTCCTGTCGTTTCTGATCTAAGGGTTTCTTGGGAAAAAAAGGGTTGTTTTTCTTGTTGAGTACGATTGTAAAAGCGGCTGGGAAGTTAACCACCATACTGTAGAGGACTGACGAGCCTTATCAGCATGCTCCAGCAACGAAGTGTGTGTTTGTGTCTTCTCGCACGCTCTGGAGAATTTAGTCAAGTGAATTCCTATTGGTCTCCACCAACTTGCTCCCACATTCCTTTTCTCAGAGGGGCCCTGGAAACAAGTTTCCGTTTGTAATGCATCCCAGACTCGCGCTACACTTAAACAAGGAGACTTAACGCATCCAAAACTTAATCGAAATGAAGTATAATTTTAGCAATTAAATCTGAAGAAAGAGAACGCACACATGATAATTTTAAATAGACGTCGTAAAACAATTCTACTAAATAGTAACGACTTATCCGCGGCCTAAAAGGAACTGTTTTTTAAAGAAAAAAAACAAAACAAAAAAAACAAAAACAGAACAACAGTGTAAATTGCATCTGACACTTTTTTTTTAACAGCTTCAATTTTAATATCCTAATTGTATTTTTTACATTTTTGTCAACTTTTGATCCAGCACATTATTTCTAGTTATCCATATACATTCTTATTTTAATAGAATTTTACGGCCTGTAACAAATTTCATTGACTAGATTTCGCATTTATATCAAATAAGCGACGCGACTGGATATCGCATGTTTTCCACCGTTATAACCAACAAAATTCCCTCTTACTGTAGTTCAAATATCAGTTACCCTCTCTTTGAAAGTTTTAGAGAGGAATAGCACATTATTTTCAATTCAGAATGTAACAAATACACCAAAAATATTCTTCCTATGCTTCATTTTTGGATGTAACCGACAAAAACATCCATCTTCCTCGCCTGCGAGGTTTGTAGAAATTGCAAAGCTATCGAGGTAAACTAATTTGATTCCATTCAAATTGTGCAACGCAACATTTTCGTGACAGAGCTGCGTGACCATCACGAAATCATTCCAATTTTTATCGAATTGCCTGTAGCTAGTGACAGAAATTGACAGGGCACGAGAGAAAACGCACCATTTACGTGACAGTGTAGGAAACCATTCGAACTGTTATTTCATAATTGTAAATAGACCTAAATAGCTTGTAAAAGAAAATAATTGGAATTGGAATTCAATGGTCCAAAGCTAGGGATAGAAAGTAGAAGAACGTATAGTAACGTGATATTTTTGCGAGAGCATGGCGTGACGGTGTACCAGGCCCTCAGTACACAGGAGCTTTCTCCGTGTTGCCCACCAATCTTTTCCCCGATAATGTTCGCTTTAAGCACACAACACAGAGTTCATTTCCTTCTCTCGCTTCCTGACTGGCCAAATGGAAGCTCAGAAATCCGTGGGGTAAATCCTCCAGAATGTACAGTTCCACGTCTTTCCCAAGGGAACGTAGCCGGCGGGCAAATTCAACTGAGTCGTCCAGTATGGGGTCCAAAGTGCAGTAACAAATAGANTTTTTACATTTTTGTCAACTTTTGATCCAGCACATTATTTCTAGTTATCCATATACATTCTTATTTTAATAGAATTTTACGGCCTGTAACAAATTTCATTGACTAGATTTCGCATTTATATCAAATAAGCGACGCGACTGGATATCGCATGTTTTCCACCGGTATAACCCAACAAAATTCCCTCTTACCGTAGTTCAAATATCAGTTACCCTCTCTTTGAAATTTTAGAGGAATAGCACATTATTTTCAATTCAGAAGGTAACAAATACACCAAAAATATTCTTCCTATGCTTCATTCTTGGATGTAACCGACAAAAACATCCATCTTCCTCGCCTGCGAGGTTTGTAGAAATTGCAAAGCTATCGAGGTAAACTAATTTGATTCCATTCAAATTGTGCAACGCAACATTTTCGTGACAGAGCTGCGTGACCATCACGAAATCATTCCAATTTTTATCGAATTGCCTGTAGCTAGTGACAGAAATTGACAGGGCACGAGAGAAAACGCACCATTTACGTGACAGTGTAGGAAACCATTCGAACTGTTATTTCATAATTGTAAATAGACCTAAATAGCTTGTAAAAGAAAATAATTGGAATTGGAATTCAATGGTCCAAAGCTAGGGAGAGAAAGTAGAAGAACGTATAGTAACGTGATATTTTGGCGAGAGCATGGCGTGACTGTGTACCAGGCCCTCAGTACACAGGAGCTTTCTCCGTGTTGCCCACCAATCTTTTCCCCGATAATGTTCGCTTTAAGCACACAACACAGAGTTCATTTCCTTCTCTCGCTTCCTGACTGGCCAAATGGAAGCTCAGAAATCCGTGGGGTAAATCCTCCAGAATGTACAGTTCCACGTCTTTCCCAAGGGAACGTAGCCGGCGGGCAAATTCAACTGAGTCGTCCAGTATGGGGTCCAAAGTGCAGGCCTAATCCAGAACAAGATAAGGGCGCCATTACCGACAGAAATATTATTACCTGTGATTTTTAGAGATGCATGAGATAGTGTTCGGAATAACTGCTGGCTGGGGTAGACAAATGCCACAGAAGGAATCACTAAACCAAAAGGAACGCGAAAGATTGTGAAGGAAGTGTAAGCTTGTAGCGGATACGTAAAAAATACAAACTTGAAAAATTTTGGTTCAATTTTCAAAACTGCTCTTACAGCAACATCCTTCTTTTCTGAACGCACTCTAATCAAATGCTAAAAGTTGATTACCAAAACAGCTGTTTTGGAGTTGTGAAATGAGAAAACCAGCGCTAAACACTTGGTCAGTTTTCGTTGAGAAAACCGTCAATGTTTCACAAGAGATCGTTCAAAAGCAAAATATTCTTTTTTCTTTTTATGATCTCATTTCGACGGAGTGTCGAAAGCTAATACTAAAGGAATCGCAACAGCCAATCAGAAAAAAGAAAAATCAGAGTCTAAGCATGGAAACTGCCAAAATCGCGGGAAAATTGGTTGTAGTCGCGATTGGTTTTATTCGTATTCGATTTCAATTTCGCCAATTGCGTGACGTAAACATATTTGCACAATTAAAGAGGCTTATTCTGCGAGCTTGGGCTACCTGTGGTCATAATTGTCGCGATAAGAAAGCTAGAGAGGAAACTTACCACAAGATCAATTGGTGGTAAACTCTTCAACATTCCATCAGGCGCCAGGAGTGGAGACATATACGGGTTCTTGGTGATAGGAATACGCACTTGAGACATAGACTGGCTCGTTAAATGAGACTCATCATCATGTCCCACCTACTCGTCCTCATCTGGCGATGTGCCAACCTCTTCGTATGGCTCATCTTGAGATATTTCAAGAGGAAGCAAAAGAAGCTCTCCACTTGGGCTCTCAGGAGATTCTACCACGTTCACCACGTGGCACTCTTCAATGTCCCTATGGTAGTGAACTCCTATATGTTCCATCTCGTCTCCTCCGCCATTTTTGCTTCTCTGAGGAGTTATGGGTCTACTGGGCGTGGTGTCTTGGGAATGTCTTCTGGAGTGTGGGTGACGAGATGAAGAGCTACTTATTTCAGAATCCTTTTCTTGGTCCGAGACACTATCCTCTAGATGTTCCTCTGATGAATGCACCACACTAGTGCAGTGATGACCAGCGGCTTTCTCAGTGTTTGCGCTTGCCATGTTGTTGATAGTCTCTGTATCTTCAAACTGCGGCGAGCTTAAACAACTATGGAAACTCTCTGGCCCTGATGGCGAAAGGACTTCTGAGTGGCTACCACTCCTGGCAAGTTTAGCCTCCTTAGAGCCAACTCTTAGTAATCTCAAGAGAGAGTTTGTCTTCCTCCTTTTCACAACACTCAATGGCTGGGTAGTTTTACCTGTTAAAGATTTTATTGAATTTGTAGTGCAGTCATCAAAGGGTGACTTGTCCATACCTGAGTAGGCCGCCAGGCAAGCACCTAACAACCCTGTAGGAAGTAGTGGGTCCATAAGGCTCAGCAGACGGGAGGGAGAGGGTACCCACTGTACATTGAAAGGTGCATAGGCAGCTAGAATGGAGTCTGGTGTACGGATGCCAACCTCTGCTGCACGCATGCTCAGTGATACACACAAATTGCCACCTAAAAGTAATTATGAAAGAGATTAGATGGTTGAGTGCCAGGCTCTGACATGACCTCAACCTATGGTTAAATAATTTTTAATTCAGCTCTCCTTGGCCGCTAACTAGATAGTTTACTTTTTTCTTTTCTTGGTGGTTGAAGCCTGGTGTTTCCACCAGTGTTGCTTGACTGTCAATTTGATGGCTGCAAGATTTTCTTGCAAAATGATAATGCGTTGCAATGGTCACAGTGCAATATTAGAAGAGGGGTGAGAAAGATAGGGTTTAACAGACTTCCAAATTTCAAGCCACTAGCATCTTAGTTTAGTTTAGTTTAGTTTCGTATGATGCACGATCCTCGCAGTAGATAGCGCTATTTAAGCAATAGCGAAAATCAGACCTGAAAAAAATCAGGCCTGTACGGGACTCGAACCACTGACCTCTGCGATACTAGTGCAGCGCTCTACCAATTGAGCTAACAAGCCAACTGGGAGCAGGCCGTTAAGTTGATTCGTAATAAACCCGTGAAAGTGATAAATGAGATACAATGAATATATGAAGTTCATATATTTTGAACTGCGGTATTAGATACGTATGATGCACGATCCTCGCAGTAGATAGCGCTATTTAAGCAATAGCGAAAATCAGACCTGAAAAAAATCAGGCCTGTACGGGACTCGAACCACTGACCTCTGCGATACTAGTGCAGCGCTCTACCAATTGAGCTAACAAGCCAACTGGGAGCAGGCCGTTAAGTTGATTCGTAATAAACCCGTGAAAGTGATAAATGAGATACAATGAATATATGAAGTTCATATATTTTGAACTGCGGTATTAGATACGTATGATGCACGATCCTCGCAGTAGATAGCGCTATTTAAGCAATAGCGAAAATCAGACCTGAAAAAAATCAGGCCTGTACGGGACTCGAACCACTGACCTCTGCGATACTAGTGCAGCGCTCTACCAATTGAGCTAACAAGCCAACTGGGAGCAGGCCGTTAAGTTGATTCGTAATAAACCCGTGAAAGTGATAAATGAGATACAATGAATATATGAAGATCATATATTTTGAACTGCGGTATTAGATACGTATGATGCACGATCCTCGCAGTAGATAGCGCTATTTAAGCAATAGCGAAAATCAGACCTGAAAAAAATCAGGCCTGTACGGGACTCGAACCACTGACCTCTGCGATACTAGTGCAGCGCTCTACCAATTGAGCTAACAAGCCAACTGGGAGCAGGCCGTTAAGTTGANCACCATAACATCAGTGTACATATTCTCCATACTGTTCTCTACACATTTTCTACAAGGTTGGTGAGCAGAAATTGTTGAACAATGAAGAGCTTCTTTAAATGGTGACCATTTCCTTAATTCTCATGACCTTGATGTGTGATTCTAAGGTGATACTGTACGGAGAAATTAGATGCTTGTCACTACTATCACTACTAGGGATCAAAGGGTCAACAGAAGTTGTCTACTTGATGGATGTTTCACTTCATACATTTACCAGAGTGTAACTTATGTCAGAGGTGGTCACTTTCATGAACATACATAATTTCATACCTCATGTGATTTTGATGACTGGGCGACAAAGCCTCCACCATGCACATGAAGTATCATGCCATCACTTTTGGGCTTTGGTGATCGGCCATGGTGCGAGAGACTGTCACTTCCATCTCTACTCTGAAGCACAAAATAAGCCAATAAGACAATATCAGGCTGTGCATCATCTACAGAATTTGAAGAACTCTCCTTCTCAATTTCAATTTACTGAGGTATTTTTTATTCAGAAATTGAGAATATTCTCTTATTGCTTGTAGTGCTTTCAACAGCTGTCAATCACAGTGCTTGGAATGCACAGGTGGTCCAAAAGAAAAGGAGTTTTTTTCTGTATTCAGGCATCATCTTGCATGATGTTGATTAAAATTTGTTGTGTTTGTGTCCAAAGTTTCAGTGTTTATTTAAGCATAAACACCAAATTGTTGTACTCTACTTTCTTGGTGTTACATTTTTCAACCCTTTACACTCTCACATCAGTATGCAAATTCTCCATACTCTTCTCTATACATTTCCTAGATGCTAACAAGAAGAATTTGTTCAACAATCAAGAGCTTCTTTAGTTGGTGATCATTTCCTTTATTCTCATCACCTTAATGCATGATTCAGAGGTGACATGGTAAGGAGAAATTAGCTGATAGTCACTCTTAAAGTGCCTCTGAAGTAAAAAATTTTTTTGCATAATTTTGTAGCTTATTATGTCCTTATTAGGGAATGACAAAAGAAATTTCAAGAAAAGAAATTTAAATCAGCTTTTTGGTGGCTCGAAGTCCCTAAATTAGACGTTATCGGTGTCTCTGGAAACTGGGAACGAGTTTGGCTCTGATGACATAGTCGGTGGTTCTGGCGCTTTGTTTAAGCTTTTGTTTGTTGTCTTCAGAACCACCAACTACGTCACTTCCTTTGTAAGATGAGATTTGACCGCGTGCAAAATGGACCCATTTCACATTGCAAAATCCAAACTTTGAGGTTCAAAAAATAATATAAGAAAGTTCTTTTGGTCAGTCAAAATCGCTTAGCTGTATTCATCAAGACATAAGCAAACAAACGGGGCAAAAAAAAATTTTACTTCATAGGCACTTTAAAGGGTTTAAAATTTTTATGAAACTCTGACCTTGGCTATCTGAGATTTCCAACAGTAAATAACAATCAGCTCATACCTGCCCTTCCCTCCATTCATATGACAAAAGTCGCACTTGAACTGGAGCCAGACCAGACCAAGAACAGGGTGGAGCAATACTCACAGACTTCCCATTCGACAACTGAAGTTCAAATGACTCCGGAGGAATATAGAACACTCTGTTCACTTTCATTGCAGAACAAACAAGCAAGGGCACATGCTGTACAGCAACAGAATATTAAAGTTATAAGGGTTACAGTTTGTAGTTTATAAAAATTCATATCTTCAAAATACGCACTAAAAGCAGAGCATCTAGGCACTGGGTAGTTCTTCAAAAGGCACAGCTTTAACTTTGGCTTTGACAGTTTAACTCAAAGTTTTTGGGGAAATTGAAAATAGCCTGAGAATCAGTAATCAAAATGCCCACAGTTGGGACAAAATGACCAAGAAATGAGAAAAATATGGTGTTTACTGACTGGTCAGACTAGTACTGCTGCCAGACTTCTCCCACACTAGTCTCACCATTAACAATTTCTCTATTCTTAAAACCGTTTTGAGTAATGAAGAAACTATTCCGCTGTAGGAGGTACCTGAAGTCCATAACCTTCTGTCAAACTCCAGAAAGCTTTACAGAATTCCATGTTAGTTTTCTGTGTCACATCCACAATCACCTTGGCTCTCATCTCAGGATTCACGGTGTACTTCCCACTGTTTAAGAAAGATACTGTTGCACATGCCATGCTGCTCAGCTTGTGATGATGATAACCTTCAGCAAATGATGCCATTGCCACACAGACAACTTGTAAGAAATGCCGCAAACTGCTAGAGAACTGACAAAGGACATAACGGCATTTCATTTTGTGAAAGAAAACAGGGTAACTCCCAACTTTCTAACATTAGTAGCAACATTAATTTTCTTGATTAAAAGTTGAAAATAATCATGATTTGCTTAAATCTGTTCCTTTTCAATTAGCATTATGCACCTGTAATGGAAACTGAATATAACAAATGCACCAAATATAAAATTAGGTAGGTTTTGAAAAAAGAATGATATAGCTCAAGTAGCTTAAGTAAAATTTCTAGGTGACCCTCAGTTTTCATATTATAATATCACAATTAAGGAAGGTCAGAAATTTCTTATTTGCCAAAAATGTACTATATATACACGGACTACAGGCAACATCATCTTATGAACATGGTAAATATTTCCTTTCAATTTTCGTTCTTCAACTTTTTTCCATCAATTTCATAATTGTTTTTTTGATTAATTTCGAAGGAGAGCAAAAAGAATAAAATCAAGAAATAAAAAACAAAACGAAAACTGCCTAAGAAAGATTATGATGCAAATGGAAAGTTTAAATCTATCATCAATCAGTAAAATCGTCTTGACGACCAAATTTGTCAAGCATCTGTTTCGTTTTCAATTTATTGATAAAAGAATCATCTGTAATACCCCATATTTAAGTGAATTAAAGATAAGCAAACTTAAATATTTACTCAAGTTCACTCGTAAATATTCACCTGAAAACCCAAAGTTCTGCCATAAAAGCACTCTCTATCCAACTGCTCAACTTCCAACATGACTTTAGAGTCAAAGTTCTCAGGGAATAAGTTGTCTGGCACACTGTCTTCAACCACAATCTTAGCAAATTGTAACAATTGACTTGTCCTTTGAAAAACATTGGAGAAAGCTTCGACTTCCAAGCTGTAGTGGTGAGATCGAAAATAAAATCTATCTCGATGAGTTTGGCAATAGATAGATAGCTCTGTAACAGAATGAAGGCAATGTTCAACAAGCCTTAGTAAACTCCTATAGCCATTTCCCTTGATATCTTTACTGTAGTCGTATAAGGGTGCTGCCTTCGCGAGCAAAATTGCTCCTTTTTCCAAAGAATCTATGGTTGATAGCATCAGTTTAAAACCATCGTAGAGCTTTTTATAAACTTCCTTGCTTGTGTACTGTTCAAAATATTCTGCATTGTCTGTAAGGATTCGTTTTAAGTGACAAAAGAGAAGAGGTAGAGAATCGTAGTCACCCAAGTCAATTTTCTCCAGACTCCCGTTTGTGTCCGCCATTTTGAGAAACCCACCGATAACCAAACTCGATTAAAACGGCAATCGCTAATCTTGCGAAGCCTCCGATTTTCGTCAGTGTCCTTTGCGCTGACAATATCTCTCTGCAAGCCACTTAGCAAGGGAATATTCCTCATTTGCAAGTTTCAGGCAGCTGAAATAATTCACCTCAAGGGGAGGCATGTTTTGAGTTAGGGTGCCTAATCGATGCAAGAAAACCAAAACATCATTATATTGTCGGGATTGTCTTCCCCATAAATTAGGCTGCTAAAAAAAATTTTCCTTAAATTCTCTTTGCGTAAGAAAAAATATCACCGTGCAGTTGTTTGGATACTATCCTTCTCGAATGGTACAAAATTTAGGTTCTAACCGCCTCACTCACGTGATGGAAATATAGGACTTTGTACTGGACAAGAGGATAAGAACAACAGATTACAACCAAGAGCGCTTTTGTTAATGTTGATGTTGCTAATCCTAAACAAGTGACTCATCTATGAAGTACAAAAGGGAAAAAATAAAGCAACTCTGCCACAGAGCCCTAGGGGAAATGTTTTAAGTAAAAAACGTTACAGGAGAAAGACCGCGAACGTATTCGAACTCAGCGATAGTTTTGAACGAACCTTTCCAACCTTTGAGCACTTCCTAATCATCCCATGCTAAAAATTAACGTGACATTATAAATTTGCGCAGTCTGACGACAGGTACCAGGACGGTAAATTATTCACTTGTCAACTTTGACCTCAACGTTGCAATCCCATGACATGCTTCAGGGAAGATATGGCGCTACAGTGAGAACGTAAACAAATCCAACCAATTTCAAAATTCTTCAAAGAAATGTAAATTAATTTTCAGGCGAGGTTTTTCCAAGAGTCACCGTCGTGGCATCTCAAACTCCCTGCCTCTGAAAATCTGAAGTAACCAGCTCTCTAGGGTGGGGCTGTCCTTTCTCTCCGCATTCCTGATGCTCGCAAACTAAATGCTTCACTTTAAAATGATTCCTTGTGAACTGACTTAATTACTGGGAGAATTTTGACTAAATTCCACGCCAATCTGGCATTATGGCTTAAACTTCGAGAAATTCATTCACCAAACGCAGCCAAAAAGTAACGCAATAACCGGCTGGTTTGAATTTTGAACGAGTTGAGAAATTCACGAAGAAAAGCATTCGAGTTCTCACTGTAATGAATAAGCCACGAAGGTGGAAATATACTTCTCTCACCTTCTCGTGATTAAAGAACTAGAAAAAGTATATATGTCAATAAAGTGTAGGATTAAAAAACCGGATGTAATGACGAGAATTAAACTCATGCTCATCCGTACACTACACTCTTACTTTCCAGGTTTGATGTGGTTCGCCTCTCGAATAGTCATGGCCGATAAGAACGAGGTGTTGATAGAGTACACGGCGGGGTAGGAGTGTTTCTCAATCTAAGCTCCTCTCACATTTCCCCGGCCTAGATGTTCTCTCCTTCCAGCATTGTGATGTCATGTTGTCAAGGTGATCTACTATGAGCGCGCAACACAGCGAATTGAGCGACTTTTTTTTTTTTAATTTGTTCTAATACAGGTCTATTGTTGACAAACCACCGCCATCGTTTGGATGGAACTTACCTGCCATGTTGATCCTATTTCCACACATGGCTGCAGAGTCGCGAGAGAATAGCACTACGAAGACGAAGGAGACGATGGGAAGGAGGAAGAGATAATGGAAAGCCTCACCTGTTTTCCCGCTTTCCATCTTTACCCGCGGGGAAATTTTGCGCGTTTCTCGCGTTATCAATTAAAAGTAGAGAGTCGACTTGGAACGACTATGAGTATGAAGTCCGAAGTCCAAGGTTGCTCAAGGTGAAACCCCCACTACTAGTACATAGTATCGTCTTCTTAATCTATTTTTTTAACCTTGCGGGAGATAGTTTGGAAATTAAAGGCCATCTTGATGAGGTAACGGTCAAATAATGGTTTATTTTCGACTTGTGATCGACAATGATCAATGTAATTCCGTCACACACACTGTTAGACAGCAAAATGTGCAGTAAATATTCATACGCTCAGCATACCAAACCATGTCTATTATCTAAGTGTAGCATCAGTAGTGAAAGTAGGTCGCAATAAACGTGGAACGATGGTTTGTCAGCCTCAAATTTGGTATCCCTTGTTTTCCAAAGGCCTATTATATAGGAGCGCGAGAAGGTCTGGAACCGAGTATAGTTAGCAAAGGAAGAGTTCCTACAATTTCTTCCTTGAAAAGTGAAAGAATGAAAAGAACAGCAAAGGCGCAAAACTAGGTAGAAGTCAATAAAATGTCACTTATCTTAAGAGGTTGTTTATTGAAATCTCCATCTATTTTACAAAATAATACTGACAGCCACTCATGTCTTTCACAGATATCTTTGAAGTCGTTACGAAAACCAGTTCTCAAGATTAAAAGGGTTTCCAAGAAATTTGTTCAAGTCGCAGATTACACAGCTTTTCACCTTAATAAAAAGAGGGATGGAAATGACAACAATCAAATTTCTTAGGAAACCAGAATTCGGAGCAGTAGCACACAATATCGTTCCACATATGCACCTAACTCTTAAAAAATATATAGCACGTCACAAAGATAAATGCTGAAAAGTTAACCCTTCATTGCAAGAAAACCTTAAATTTACCGATTACCAAGGAACTTAGCGATCGATTTCTCCGAAGACGACATCAAGAGTGCCTATCGAGACCGGAGAAAACGAAAAAAAAAGGAAAAAATGCGTGAGATGACAAAGCAGGTGCATAAAACAAAACATACATAATGTTCGAGGTTTCAGAGCAAGTTTAAACAGGGGTTTCAATAAGCGGCTGCCGATGGTGTAATGGGAGGTTGCGCGGAAGGGCGAAACCTAAACATTGAGACCCGATTGGGGGCTCAACAGACAGTGGCGATAGGTCTTGTAGAGGAGGGGGGTGGGGAGGCGCGGTAGAGCACTTGGTATACTTTTCCCTGCCGTTGATTTAGAAACCTTGAACCATCCTCAAAACAAAATCAAATGCAAATTATATTCATGCTCCCTCGTCAAACTAGTTTCCGGGGCTTCAGTCAGGTAACAGAGCTGGCCTGATCGACTACTTAAGATTTGAATAAAGGGGATAAGTTTCTGAGGAAACTGTAGTGCTGCGTGGGTGGGGAGGTTTATGACAAGATATGATTAAAGGCTGCTAGTTTCTAAAGAAACTGTTTGGGGCTGCGTCGGTGGGGGTAACGAAATAATTTGGATATATCAACAAAGTTCAAATGGTAAATTGGCCACCGTAATGATTACAAAAGCTGACGTTTCGAGCGTTAGCCCTTCGTCGGAGAGAATGTTCGCTGGCCAATTTTCAACTTTTATGACAAAATAATTTGGTTTCACCACCTGAGTTAATGACGTAAATGGGCCACGGTACGGCTGTCGTTTCGACCGTTAGCCCGTCGTAAGGGCGAATTTGGATACTAAAGCTTAGAAAAAGGAGAAAATTGTCTCCAACCGACGCACAGTACACATCCTGGGTGTTTTAACGAGCGTAAAAGATAGCGAATAGTTCTAAGCGCACAAGAGGAATATAAAAAAGTGTGGGTGACGCTTACCAATAATGGCTACAACATCAGCCAACATGTGACCAGTTGACATCATTTCCAAACCAGCCTGAAGACAAGAGATGACAAAAAATTAGTACGGCTTTATGTTACTTATATGTTACCTACATAAAGTAGTAAACAGTCGTCGGATTGTAACAAATTAAGGATAAAGTAAAAGGGATGGTTTTAGTTTTTAATATAATTGAAAGATAATGTGGCACAAGGTTTCTGAAATGCAGACAGAACGAAGAAAAGCAGATACAAAGCAGTCACAGATTACTTTCGACACTTGATTAAAAACAGCTCTATTCCAAAAAGAAAGCAAATCTTATTAAAACAGTTTCACTTGAATCACTCGGAAAAAGGAACTTACCAAATGTGCAAATCCAGGAGCTTTTATTTTACAGCGATAAGGCCTACTGGTGCCATCAGAAACAAGATAAACACCAAACTCTCCCTAAAGACAACAAGAAAATAAGTACTCTATTCACTAACAATCTATATCATCAATAAGTTAGAGGCCAGTCTCTCGCACAAACCTCCCACCTGGGCAACGCAGAGAAGGACAAGACTTTGCGCAACACGTTAAGTAAATTCACCTCAAGAATACTACGTTGAGGCAATTAGGTGAAAGTGCCCGCGCAAAACGGGTCAATTCCGGTATGAGATTAATTTGCTGGGTTCTTTTTTTTTTTTTTTTTTTACAATGTCGTTGTAAGCCATCTCTGATAGTTACCTTCGCACTCACCATTGTCCAGGGAAGAAAAGTCATCTCTAAAAAATTACCATTACCTTCCTTTACTTCTCTTTTAGCCACAGTCCTTTGTGCGACAAATCGTACCAAGCAATAGAGAGATTTAGCACCGCGTTTACGTGAAACGGCAAACGTCAGGTTGCTCTTTTACGTTTCACGTAGAATAGCGTAAACCTTGCTGCTTTACCTTCCCGTGTGCTTACGTCATGGTGTATTTGAAGGTACCCTTGTAGGACTTAAAGGAATAGATTTGGTGCCCTCTTTCCGGTAATTAACTTCTGCTCTGTGAGAGAAGTGGAGAAAATCTTACCGGCTTAAACACCAAACGCGAAACAGGTTACTTTCACGTAGAAACGGCAAAGCGCAACCGGCAACCGTGAAAAACTGGCGGGAAAAATAAGGTCACGTGGTTACTCTTGTCGTTCACGTTTCACGTAAACGGGAAGCGAAATCTCTCTAATAACGTGGACATCTTTACAGGAGTTTTTCAAGGGCGTCCCAAGACCTTTTAACCAGGATTGTTGTGTTTATAACCACAATCGTGTGGCAAAGTGTCAACAGAACACTACAAAGATATCAAATCAAGCAGGGGCGCACTGCTCATACCTTGGGAGCCTCAATCGCTGTGTACGTTGTACCGGGTGGCACTTGGTAACCTTCCGTGTAAAGCTTAAAGTGGTGAATAAGTGCTTCCATGGACTCCTGCAGAAATAGATAAAAAACATAGTCCGGCAGTCATTGAAGGATCTCTTTTTATTCGCAGTTATAAAAATAGTAAATTTTCATGGCGATCCAAAGGATCAAATCCCAATAACTCGACTTCACTCTTTAGAAGAATTTGAATCAAATTCAAGACTTTGACAACCGACTGCTTATGCAGGATGACTGCTACATAGAGCGCTGTTTACCGCGATGATTTGCTTTAGCGCCCTTGTTCCAATAAGCGCACCCTCTCTAATAAGCACCCACCTTGAACTTGTGTCAATAAATATATCTCATTATTAAAAACTGGATCATTCGATAATGCATTTCAAGACTTTTTATTGGCTTAGCCATTATGGTATAT